ACAGCTTTTTAGATCTTGTATCAGTGGAGCACAAGAAATAGAAGAACTCCTTGGAAAGAGAGAGAGAGAGGGCTGGACGTGTTTCCCAAGGTGTGGGATTCTTCTGTTCTCTTCGATGAGCCTAATGCAGTATATATAGAGCTACAGTAGGGACCCTAAGGAGAATAGGATAAGGGCTTCTAATATATTAATACTGTGGAGCAACCCCACAATTAATATATTAATAATATTAAAGTCCACCACAATAATATTATTGCACTCCCCTCACCTATCCCAAATTACATTTGAGACTCCTTGTTATAATTATCCGATTTACCTCACCATGTTTAAGATATAATGCCCATTAATTAATTCGATCACTAATAATTAAGAATTAATTAATATATTATATTACTGAAGCTAGCGCTCGCTCATAGCATTCATATTATGCCGGAATAAATCCACCTGCAGGGTTTAGCATAATATTCCTTCATGAACTCACTTCGGGGACATCATCAAACTAACGCACATGGTGACCGTAAATATCCTAATAGCACATCGAACACATAATGTTATTACCCAATTCATTAAGTATGTCGACCCGGCTTGGATCTCACCCAAAGAATCAAAGCAACAACAATTATGTGCACATGCCTATTTAATATCTTACGGGTTAAGAGCACGCAATAATTAACTGAGGCCTAGTTCGTTTACAACGATTAGTATAAAACGAACATCCCTCTATGGGATCCTGTTCAATACATAAATGTACTAGTGCAACTAATCGATCAAGAAAGACCGTACGGTTGACACTACAACCGTTCCGATGGGTTGTTCAATTCCATCTAGGTTGTGAACCAACGATTCTTGTTTCGCAAGTAACTGATATAGTGATCTTCGGTACGCCCGATGACGACCCACTTATCTGCATGCAAAACAACAGAACGTGGAACTTATTTAACCAAACATAATTCTCATTCATCAAGGAATAACAAGTGTAATATCCACTAAAGCAAAGCTTAAGTATATAACACCAACAAGGACAAACTTAACTCCCTGAAATTGCTAGGCAAATCCCCTCCTAAGACATCTTCGGCGAAAGGGTGTCCTCGTGACACAATAGGTCTCTTACCCTGAACCCGAGCTTGGAGTTCTTGCATCTGGGCCGCCAACCTCTCCAAGGTTAACCCATTCAGCTGTGCCGTTGCCATCGGCTGGGAGGTCACCGATCTAGCATCATCATCATCGACTCTCTCTGAATGCTGATGCTGCTGCGGATGCAAGGGGACCTGTTGTTGAGGTGCTAGTGGCTGCCGTGGCGGAGGTTGTCGAAACGATTCATTAGGAGCTCTCTTATCCACCTCTTGATCCCGGCCTATTGCCT